CAGTATGGGCTATACAGGGAGCTTACAAAAATACGTACAGCTGTTACAGATGAGCACATTCAGGTATGTGCCTGGAGCACTGAACTTGGGTGTCATGGTTACTTTAGTTTTAAGAGTAAAGGAGTGAAGGAATTCAGACCACCTCATATCCAGCACCACCCGATACTGGCTCCCTAGACTGACAAGGGAAAGAAAAAATTGTGACACCTAGTTAAGTATGTATAATGCAGTTAATAAGAACCCTGTGTAAACCAGAATTGTGTGTCCCCAGGGCACAACTCTGTCCTACTAGCTGTTTGTCAATCATCATGCTTGTTTTAGCCGGAAATGTTATCATTTGGGACCTTTTTCATGGTTTTAAAGGTTTAGGAAGCAGGCATTTATTTCAATGTAGCCAGCGGTACATAAAAAATTCCACCGACTCCGATGGGACTGATTTATTAGGGAACGGCTCTCGAAGAACTTCAGTATATCTGAACTCAAAAATCTCATCCCTCTTTCACATACTTTTGATAAATGTACAGCTTAGCAGCAAGACCTTGAATGAACGCGTGTTCTCTCTTGTTGAGAGCTCCTAACAATCTCCTCTCTTTAGTACAAAAGCTGCGAAGAGGAGACCTGCTGGACAGTAAGAAGCCAGGACCACTTCATTTTTATTCACTCTCTGGGATGCAAACAAGAGAAACCAGAGCAAGTCCCTGCCTGCTGAAATTCCAGGGGTTTGCATGGAATTACAGCAAGGCCCGGAGGTGTTTTGAATCTTTTCCTGTATACATCAGCCCTGCACCGCTCCCAGGCAATGGTACTTTAAGTTAGTTATTATTAATAATAAAGGATTGACTACCAATAGTCCTCATTAATTTCCATGGCAATCTTGCCCTAAACAAGATAAATGGCTGGGCTTTGAGTTGTATAACCAAAGTTCGTAACGTGAAGGAATGCAATCCCGGAAAAGTGTTCAGATGGTGGGGAGTGACCGACCTTGCACAGCCTCCTTAAGGCCCAACTTCCCTTCGTATCTCGCAAGCTGCATTCCTAATTTCCTGAAAATACTGAATGGTTTGCACTTTCAGCCTCTGTCCTCTGGGCTCCAGTCTTCAGCATGCCTCACGGCATTCCTTAAACATTTCACCCACCCGTTTATTCATTTATAGTCCTTCTAACGATGCACTGCTGGAGCTTCCACAGGAGAAGATGTAACAGGAATATAAACAGTAACAGAAAAATTTAAAAACATACTACTTTCCTCTTCTGTGTCTATCTTGTTACGATTATTGTTTCTGCAGAAAACAGATGAGACACCTACCACGATCGATTTAGACATTAAATTATGGACTTTCACTTCAATGCTTTCACTCTGTCAATAAACTCCGAATACATTTAAAAGTCCAAATAAAACTTTTCTGGCCATTTGGTTAAGTAGAATAGTGGCAGTCAGTATGAATTAAAACATTTCCCAGAATCTAAAGAGAGAAATGTTATGAACAAAGAGGAATCTGAGTGGGCGTAAATTCCTCGCCCTCCTATGCTGGTAGGATTATATGTCAGGCTTTCAGAGCAGGAAAAGGACGTTACAGGCATAATGGCAGGGAATATCAATCAGGTAACTAAATCTAATTACAGAGTTACTAGATTAACTAGTTAACTTCAGCTACTTGAAGGCAAATGACCAAGTGCCACAACAGAAACCAGATTTAGAGAAACAATTTCTCAACACACTAAACAACTTCTTGTAACAACGAGTTTCAGATTAGACAACAGACTATTCTTGACTAACTTTAAAAGACACATGGTTTGTGTAGGAAAGGACTGTAGCTGAATCACTCATTAATAGTAACAACAAATTCAGCCTTCTTAGAGAAAGAATTGCACCAAAAGGACAGGATAATGACCCTAAATTTTAGTAGAAAGATCTATTTTCTGAGGGAGTAAGCCAGTAATAAAACATGTTCTGCATAAAAGAATTGCCTTAATGGAGTCATTAAAGGGAACAGAGGCATTGGCCCCGAATTTTCAAGTCCTTATTTTATCACAGTTTGTGATACACTGGTACTGTACAAAACATAATTGCATTTCTTGGTTTTGTTACATCACAGTTAAACCATGCTAGACACGGGCTAAGACAGAACTCTTTCAGACATCCCAGACTGCAAAGCACCCCAGGCTGGGTGACTGCTGGCTAAAGAGGGAGGCAGAAGAGAGGCAGAAAGTTGCTCAAGCAGTGACCGAGGCAGGTCCCACGGCGGGTGCAGAGCTCCTGCTGGACGAGGCAGAGCTGTGTGCCGGCAGAGCTCCCTGCGGGTGCCGGTGCCCCAGCCTGCACGCCTCCGAGTCCCTGGGACAGGTTCTGCACCTCCTCGGGTGAGTAGCCTAAACGGGGCAACTGCTTACTACTCATGAAATGATACAGTACGTGGTCTCGGGAGATACCATCTGTGATCCTAGGCTGCAGTTCTTTGCCCTTTCAGCAGAGATAAAACTACATCCCAGCCAAGCCCTTGGGGCAGTTTCTCTCCTGTTCTTGCTCCCCCCAGCCTGGCACCGTCACCCTGCAGCACCCAGCGACACCACCACAGCTGCCCCATGCTGTGGCCGTTACTCCACGCCCTCACACCCCTTCGTCAGGCTCGGCGTCCAGCCTGGGGGCCTCAGACTCAGCATCGCTACCTAACCTCGCCCCCTGCTCCTGACCGTACCTGGCACCCGCCCAAAGCCCCTGAGGAGGTACAGGCCCAGGCTGGGCCACGGCCTTGCCTCCAGGGGGGACGTATATGCCAAGCCCCCGCACTGAGGGCAGCAATGAAGGGTTTAGGTCCAAGGTGATGCTCAGGGAGGCTGAGGGAAGGTGAGGTAGCACAGAGGGGTGCCACTCCCCCCGCCCTCGGGGGCTGCCTCTGTGTGTGTTTGAGGGGGCCTCTGCTCCCCCCCC